GGTCTTTGGGAGCCCAATCCCACTGCCAGGCCAGGTTTGTTTGGAGGGTTTTTTGTGCCAAGATCTAATGCCATACTTTCTTATTTGGGTGCGGTAGCAGCCCCGGCAAGCAATGCTACACCTGCCTTCCCCCTGCAAAATGGAGGCACCTTTTGCAAAGCCGCTGATAACCCAGACAAGATCAAAGAAAAGGCAGCACAAGCACATATTTACTTTCTTAATATGCAAGGATTTGTGGTTGGGGAGTTCTTATGCAGGAGTTCCGCTTGCCACAACTTTACTCACTCACCTGGGCTCTCAATGAAGAAAAGCCTTTTGCTGGGGGATGCCAGTTGAGCAGCAGCTTGAGCAGTCAAAGGAAAAGGGCTGCATTATTTGCTATCCTCCTTTTGCTGCAGAGGTGGGGAACTCATTTCTTGTCGAGGGCTGCAAGCCTTCTGGGGCACTCTGTCAGAGGTCGCATGTCTGCAGTGGGGGAGGCACCCCCTACCCCGTCTTCCCCATCAAATGGGATCCTGGGTGAGGGAGCAGGAGTTCTCGACGGGAGTCTGATCTCATTCCTTGCAGTGAGCTTTTGAAATTAGGCAAAAGGCTGCAGCCTGCAGACCTACTTTGCAGCGTACCTTGGGTGGAGTGGCATACCCTTTCCGTTTACCGAGGGGCAGAAACTCTGCTTGTATGCAGAAGCCTTACTCTTGGGCTACTTGACCTGGAAAGTGCATGTAGCTTTCAGCAATCTTCCAGTGGCTACCCGATGCTCCAGTTCCCCCTCCCCCAGCCACCCCCATGGTTTCTGCCTGCCCCTGCACATATTACCTCCACCAGCCGCCAGATCCCTTGGACCCAGAGGACTGATGCCACCCCTGTAGACTAGGAGGAGGGTAACTGGGGAGTGTTGTTCCTATTCACCACCCTTCACCTGTACTTTACTTTCCCAGCCAGCAGCTATTGGGTAGACTCTAGAGAGAGTAGTGTAGACACTAACAGTGCTTCATTGCAGAGTGTGTGGATGCTAGAAGCTAGTCTTGAGGAATGCAGTGAGTGAGGCAGGGATGCCAGTCCTCAGGCTTGGGGTCCCAATCCAGCCCTCCAGTGTTCCTCAGAAGCTATGCTCCTTTCTCTTGACCATGGTTCCTTTGGTGATTTCCCAGGTCTTGTACAGTTTTCCCCCTCTCTGGAAGGTTGAGATGTTTTTCCTAAGGCCCTGTTACTAGCAGTCAGAGCTTGAAGCTCAAAAATGTCAGAATTGTCGGTATTTTGGCCTGTCCCCTTTGCCACCATTCACCTCTAAAATCTAGCTCCGAAATAGATTTGTGCACCCCATGGCACAGATGGCTGGATGGGTGCGGGGGGGGGGGCAGTTGGTTCACCATGGCTGCACCACCAACACATTCCTCAAAGGACTCCCCAGGCACTGCTCAGACACCCTATTCAATTTTGCTATAGACATTTATTCCAAGAAAGCTAGCAACTTCAAGCATCTTTTCATTTTTGCATGCTGTCTCCATATGCAAGTCAAGCCTAATCTGACCCATTTCCTGCTCTCTTCGTTTGGCAAGAAGTCGCTCCCTGAAACCCCAGGTTGCAAGAATACGTGCAAAGCACTCTGTTCAGATCTTCTTCCAGGTGATCCACTCATGGCCAGCTATTGAGGGCCAGGGCACAAGCACAACCTTCTCTCTGATTTTTACTTGGGTTCAGCAAGGAACCCAAAGAACCGCACCATATCATGTTCTCCCACTGTGCCTGTAGCTAGGGGAGCACTGTAACCTCATGGAAAGCCCTTGGACTTGAGGAATCTACTTCAATTTTTCCTAGGAGCCTGAGATCCACCAGCCAAATCCTAATGCCCCATCCATGCATGCAGAATTCAATGACTTCTTCTGAATACCAGAACTGAATGGAACTCACAGTACTTCCACGCAAACACCCGCTCCCTGTTAGCTGTGGTCCATGCCTGTCGCCGCGTATAGGCCGGGATGGCAGGCCAACGCAGTGTTAGCATGCAGAGCTGCCTTTTCCGAGAAAGGGCACTTGCACAGCATGGGCTCACAAGCCTGTTGGCACCAAGGGCCACAGCTGGGACATCATAGCAGGCTGGGGGCTACACGTGCCCCTGCAGTTCTCAGCCATTTGGAAATGTCCCTGTGAAGCACAGAAAGCACATTCCAGTTCTTTGACTAGCTGCTCGAACAGAAGGCTGCTGTTTCAGGGAAAGAAAGCACGGCGATACAGGTGGCGGTGACAGTGGGCAGGCTTTCTTGTTTTCAGCAGAGAAACCCATCTTCACTTCTGGTCAGTGGCTGGAGATGAGAACAATCAAAAGCTGTTTACATTTTAAATATGCCACTTTTTAAATACATTGAAATTTTAGAACCGGGGTGGGTACGTTTAATTACTTAACGCTCAAGAAAGTCTCCCTGCCCTGAGTGACACCAGTCTGCTCTGCCCATGACTAATAGCTGCACCGCCTGCATCCAAAGCCATATCTAGGCTGCGGGCTGTATGCTCATGTTGTAGCAGGCAAACGAGTAAGACTTGCCCTGCTCAGGGATCCCCTGCTGGGTGCTTTTGCCCCCTTTGCATGCTGAGAGGTGTAACCAGGGGCCTTTTCTAGTGTGGGGCAATGGAATACACCTGATGCAGAGAGGCAGGACTGCGTCAGTGAATCATGCAGAGACACAACAAGCAGCCTCTTCAGTGGGTCCACACTCAGCGTAGGTTTGCTTTCAGTCATTTATTTCTTGTAACTTATTAGTGGCTCTGTCGTGGCAGTACATGTTCTGTATCCCAAATGAGGGGCTAGGTAGCCCTGCTTGAAAGCCTGACAGGTAACATTATCAGAATGAATCATAATTAACCATGGGGGGAAATTGTTTGGTCTCTGGTAACACACTCAGAAAAACTGGCAATCATTTAGGAAGTTGGGAAGTTGGGCAGGAGAGGCTGCCACGTTTTGTGCATTGATTAAAATGTGTATGTCCTCACTTTTGTTCCCCAACTGCCTTTTTCCCCCATACTATTTTCCATGGATGCAATTTAGTACTGGCGGGAATTCTGGGTGTTGCACACTGCCATCAGGTTGGGGGAACCCCTCACCTACAGGCACAGATGGTCTGAAAACTGTGGCGAAGACTTTCAAGCAGTGGGTGTGATAGCATTACAGCTAAGAACATATTAAATGCTGATTTAGTGTTGCGTGACTTGCTATGTGGAAAGAGTTGTTGCTTTCATAAAGATGTTCTCTCTCCAATAAAGAAAGGTGGTAAGCTACCAGTACACAATATGATGGTTCAATAAACCAGGCGGGCCCATTTAATAGACATTTAAATGGAGCTGGCACCAGTTGGCTCCTGGATACAAGGCCCTCTGTGTCCTCATCCTGAAAGGTAATGTTTCCATCACCACTTCTAAGAAGACGTGTTCAGGAAATTTCAATGCTAACTAGTTGTATAGAAAGTGACAATAAAGAGAGCCTTTTGGCTGTTGGGCGGTATAAAAAAGGAAACAAATAAATGGAGATCTTGAATTCTTAGGTCATTTTTAGGGACACTCGCCCTCTGGTCAGCAGCTCCTTTTCAACAAGAGCAATCCTTGGAATGGGCAGCACTGGCTGGAAGGACAAACCCTGCTAGGGGAAGAAAACCATTTCAAGCAAGAAGAAAAATCTTTAAACCTTTTCAGCTAATCATTTTGTTGTGGTGCATAGCTTCTCCCTTTTATCATTCACTCCCACATAAGCACATCTCACATGGCTGCAAAGGGAGAACCATCCGGAGTTGCTCTGAAATCTAGATGAGAAGCCCCAGGATACCAGAATGAGACCTTGGCTAATGTGTGCTGAGGCATACAAATCTACCGCTGTGCAGCCTTTAAATGAGCTGACAACCGTTCCTTCTTTCAGGGAATCCTGACAACAGCAGCTCAACAGATTTATCTTAACGGACAATGTTAACTCAGAATTGCTATTCCAAGGCTTCTTTGGAAGAAGCCATGATGATCAAAGTGCCTAACCCCAGTCCATGCCTGCAGTCTTAAGCACGTTCAGATTTAACTCTAATTGGGGTAGAATTATTGGTCTTGCCATCATGGCTCTGGTCATATGCACACTTATTTGGCAGGAACTTCCACCGAACTCAGAGGGCCTGGTATTTGGGTACCCATGAAGGATCATGTGTGAGTAGCCAAAAGAACAATTATTCTCACCAGTAGGCACCGGCTGGCTATAGGAAAAAGCAAAGCCCTTGCTGCAACCTTGGAGATGCCTTCTGAGGTTCCAGCTTCGGAGCCCCCAAGCTACTGTGGTTCTTTCCACACCAGCTGAGGATCCAAAGAGGACTGTCATCTGGACAGATGCTGGGAGGACCATTCCATGGGATGGGGAGGGTGAGGCATTGCTCTGACAAATCCAGGTGGAACCTCCTTGTGAAGAGGGAAATCTTCCAAAGGAAGTGAGGCAGGTGGCTACCTGGAGGAGGGCTTTTTCGGTTGTGGCACCTTGGTTTTGGAATAAGCTCCCCAAAGAGGTGCACCTGGCACCTACCTTGTATTCCTTTCAATGTCAGGTGAAACCCTTTTTTATTTTCCTGGCATTTTAACCATCTGTTTTTCTTTATTTTTACGTATTTCATTTCATTTCTGTACCACTGCTGTGCTTCTGTGCTGAATAACAGCAATTTCCAAGTATGGTTTTGTTCTTTTAACTGTTGTGTGGGTGTGCCTTTCTAGCTTTTGTTCAACTGGGAAGACTGCCTCAGCTATTGGGTGGTGTATAAATACATGGGGGCAAGGAAGTATAGAGGCAATCCTTGCCACCATACTTGTAGCATGTTTATTGAATGTCTGTGACCTTCTGAGACCATAAGACTGCACCCTAAGAGTATTAACACTAGACCAGCTCTCCCACATTTACCTCAATGTGTTCTGATCATTAAATGCAGCAAACTGCAGGTATTCTTGAATTAACCTTTTTCTTTTTTTCTTCTTTGCATTGCTTGCAGATGAAAGCATTCTCAAGTTTGGAACACTAGTCAGCACTTCAAACACTTATGATAAGTCTGGGGTTGTAACTGTAGAAACTGACAAGCCTCTGCTTTGGACAATGGGTATCAAAGATACATAATGCACTTAAAAGGATAAATCACCTGATTTTGTTCAGCCCAAGCCTTAAAGTGACATGTGCCAGAAACCTTCAACCATAAATGACTCCTTTTAGCTTTACAAAAATTCAAAATCGTACATTTCCGCTTATTTTTATGCAGCTTCAGTCTAGAAAATGCTGGGATTTTTGTTTTTTATTGTTGGAGTGATGCTGTAATTTTAACATTTTAAAAAATCTAAAATTAGATTTATTTTTGGACATATGTACAGTTTTGTATGGGGGGATGGTAAACCTCAGTGAATGTATAGTATCTCAGAACAATTAGCTTTCACTGAAACATCCTCAAAGATCCGTCTTCAGCATTTGGCGACTGCTTATGAGCATACTTAGGCCAGTGTGCAAGTCAGGAGCCAAATGATTCAAACAAGGAGAATGTACAGAAAGCCTCAGTAAACTTCTTTTCCCCAACCGCCGGCATTAGAGAACATCAGGTTCTCTGCTGTTCATAAAGAACCTTGTTGATATTCATGCTGTGGAAGATGCAAAGATGCCTGGCTCTGTTGGGCTTGGTCATCCACCCCGAATGCCATTTTTCTTGTAAGAAAGGTAGAGCACAAACTGAGTAAATAAAGTTAAAGACAGGCACATGCCAAAAATGGGAGATGAAGATGGGGTGGATGGGGAAAATGCCTACTGTGTAATTTGATATGCAGTTGTGCGTGTGGGTTCCTCTTTCTATGTATACATATATACACACATGTACATGAGTGTATGTACATATAGAATGGGGGTACACATAAGGACACTTTGCAACTTTTCATAAATGAGTTGTGTTATGTCTATCACTAGAAATGGAATTAAGGCAGAGCAAATCCCATTCATTGTCAATTTAAGCAGCACTGTTAGTATGTTAATCTGCCCTTGTTTTAATCTGTAAGAACCAATGTAACACATTTGAAACTTGAAGCACTTTGTCTTAATCGCCAGAGCATTCATTTCACTGTAAATGAAAAATGCCACAATGTAAATTAAATAATGTGCTAAATCTTGCATTTAATAAAGCTTATTTTCAGAGTGGGTGTACCTGTGATGTTTTTGCCCCTGACATCACACGGCAAACAGATAAAGCCACTTCAAGTTTGAAGTCAAACATGTGAGAGAAAAATTTATCACAGAACTAAGCTTGTACACAAAAGTTATGATAGCTAGATTTCATAAGACACCAACTGATCTCCTCTCAAAGCTTACATCTCATTTGCCAAGAACAAAGCTTTAAGAGTCAGTGATGAAATCTAATCACAATTGGTTTCTGTGTCTTCCACTAACCAAAGAGGATGCTACACCAGTTTTATTGTAAAGCCTGGTTTATACTGACAAATTGCAAAAGAAAATAAGTAAATTATAAGTAGGAATTCCACACTACTGTCATGTGACCACACACAATACGAAATAACTCTTCTTTCTGCATTCAGCCGCCCCTGCAGAAAAGAAAAAGATACAAATCAAGATACCTTGCAGCATGACACTTAAGGCATAATCCTTTGTAAGTTTAGACAGAAAGAGTATCTGCAATGATCATAACTGGCTTGGGCATGCTGTGAGTTGTTAGCCTTTTTTTCTGTCTAAGTTTACATAGCATTGCAACCTTTGTTAAATTGTTAGGTATTGCTTTGCAATTATGCATTCCTGAAAATAGACCATGTTATGCAAGTGAACACAGATGAAAAAATACTGGGGAATTAGATAGGAGCTAAGAATATTAGGTATATACCTGAAAGTTTGGATTTTTTTTTAAATTAAATAGCTGTTCCCAAAGCTGCAAACCAAAGTATTTCTGAAATGAAGGTGTTTCAGAAGGGACAGTTTGCAATATGGCACACAAATTGCTGTTCAAAGGGGAGAGGGAGGCTAAGATCCTGCTGGCCAAACCACACCTAAGATACTTTGGATCTCCGCCTATTTTTCTTTCCAAGAAATACTCAGATATGGGAAGTACAAAAATATATTTTAAATGTAAAACAGAAATTCCTCTTCACTGTACAAATATTTACAGAACACATTCCTTACCACGCAACAGAATGGACTCCCTTGACATGGTAGGGGAGCATGAAGGCTTCCTGTGCAATGTGCAAAAGGGGCTGCACGCACCTGTTAGCAGTGGGAATAGGCGTTCACAGATCTTAAATTGCTCATACTCCCCTACTCGCACAAACAGAGCTCTTTCTGGCAGATAAGGGAACCTGCACCAAAGTAGTACTACTTCTTTGTGCCTCTCAAAGCTGCAAGAAGTGTTTCAGCTCTTATGTCAAATACTCAAGCGTTATCAATGGCATGAAGAGCCTTGTAAGAAAGTATACCAGCAATAGCCCCTCTTCCTGGCAAAGAAAGACTTGCCAATGTTATCTGTGTTCTTATAACAACGGGGTTACTCTCAGACCATTAAGTATGAATATGCCCTTGAAAACAGTTTGCAAAATTCAATTGGCTCAAAAGGCAGCAGCTGTATTGTATAATGGCTAGATCTGTCATTCTGAGTGTAAAGCACCTGTTTGAAAAGATTTGAAGGTTTCCAATTTCCATATAGCCTGAAGTGCCTGATCCTGCCTACTCTTGGAAGCTAAGCAGGGTCGGGCCTGCTTGAAATCTGGATGGGTGACTTCAATGTTGCGAACCAACCAGAGAGTTTTGGCTATGTGCAGTATAAAAGTGTAATAATAATTTCCATGCACAATTCAAAGTGCCAACTTTAACAAATCATAAATGGCTTTAGTGCAGACTAATTAAAGGACTGCCTTTACCTATTCAAATCTAATGCAATCTTAAATTTCATTCATTCATTCATTCATTCATTGCATATTTTGGTGACACTAACCAGGTGGCAATCAGGAACCAGAGGCTTTTCAGTGGTGGCGACCTGTTTTTGGACCTCCTTTCACAGAACTACATCACTCTTTGTTCATTGCTGTGATGTCCCAGTTCTAAAGTTTTATTAATACTGTTTTAAAAGCTGAAATGGCTGAATTATTTCCATTACTGTCTGTTTTGATATAAGCTGCGCTAAATATTAATATAATACAAACAGCCTATAAATATTTTAAATAAATCAATGTGATAAGGAATGTATGGTAGAGACTCTAATCAGTCATCAATTTTGATTTGAGAGCAATGGATACATCAGCAATCTTAGATATCATGCTGAGGGCATATGGTTTGTGCACCTAGAGCTAATATTAAATGTCATCTTAAGTCCCAGCTAAGCTGTTACCTTAGCATGCTTGTCATAAGTCTGTCTTTCTTGTTGCATGTGCACACACATAATTTTTGTCACATTTACTTACACAATGATATTGTTGATTGGAATATGGATCAGTTTTACGAAGAATCCAATAAATCCCATTATTGCAAAACCTATTGCTGTTGCCATGGCAATCTTCTGGAATTCTGCAATTTAAAGAAACTTGTAAAAATGCAAGTGATTAACACTTCAGTTGATGGTGATTTTAAGCAATGTGCACTCTTAAGCATTTCTGAATAATTATATTTAGTAATGACTCGACTTTGATCTGCACACAGGAATACATTCTTGAGCAATTAAAGCACAACATTCTTGTTATTTCAGATTTAAACCTGATGTACTACACACAGAGGCAGCAAGTACCTCTTTATGTTATTCCAGCCAACAAAGCCAACTTGGAATTATGGGAGTTGCCATCCCAAAAACATAGAGGGCACTAGTTAGTGGAAGGCTATTCTAGAAGAGAAGATGTGCTCACTGGTGACATGAGCTCATCTATAGAAACAAATTTTATTTACTTAAAAAAATAATCTGAGTGCAGTGTGAGCGTCTTCTGAAAAACTGACTTTCACTTACAAAATGAAAGCATGAGCCTGAATATAGAAGTTGAACATGAACACATAATTACTATCTATAGACAAAGCTTTCTTTTACACTGTGACATTACTGCATAATAGAGATTCTATCTTTCATCTTGATTCCTTACCTTTCCTATCGGGCTTTGTGCATCTTTTAACAAGCCTGATTGAATCTTTCACAAACTGCCGGCTGGGTTCAACAAATTGCATTACTTGATCCATGATAAACTGAAAGAGAGAAAAAACAGCAGCAAAGATATCAACATGTTAAGTTGTTCTGTAGCATCATTCTAAATTGGCTCAAAATTTCCCTTCCCAGAAATTACAGAGATGACATTTTTTAAAAAGGAAATGACATGCTAAGACACTTGGGTTTAGTTCTGAAAAAACACAAGGGTAATATCATGAGGTTAACCTAGAAACAAGCAACCTCTGGGATGATTCAGCGTAAGAAACAGGTCATTTTCCCCCCTATCTGCCCCATCCTCATATAATGCATTCTTTAGAAACCTCCAATGTTTTTCTCTTAATGCTGTGGCTTGTCCCAGAATATAGTGCTCCCAAACAAACCCAAAGACATATTACTATAGCAACATGTCAGCCTCTAGTACATCCTTCCTGAAAACCTGAGTCTCAGAAAATTGGAATCCTTTCTCTAACATCACCCACCATCTGTGGCTCTGAAGCACCCACATTTGTTCCCCGTTTCCTTTCCCATTCTTTCTAGGAGGATCCAGCAGCTCGAAACTTATCACAAAGGTGAATTTGAAGGAGAAAATGAAAATGTTTATATACACACCCAACCAAATGGAAGGGTGGGGAGAGATGTAAAAAACTGATATTGTACTGCCTTAAACTATTTCATTTATGTATTTAATTTTTGTACTACCCAACAGCTGAAGCTCTCTGGGCAGTTTACAAAGCTAAATAAATTTCCACTGCATCCTTACATGAATCTAATATCTGAATCCTGAGGGCAGTAACACGGTTTAGAGAACACTCAATCATTCTTGATTTATTACTACAAAGTGTGGCAATCTTTAGGAAATGCATCAACCCCCATTCTCTTAGGCACAGTTAGAAAACACTTAATCAGGAATACAATATGCACCAAGTCCACAGAGCCTGAATATGTGTACCACATAATAAAACATGGCTTGAATTTTCTCACTCATTAACATCTGGGACTGGATCCAGACTTAGCCAACCAACAGCAGAGCCACTAAAATCCATGACATTTTAGGTGTATGGATGTGTTCTAGGTATGGCTAAGCCTGGATTCATCCCCAACTCTTTGTGAGGAAGAGGGAAGAAAAGGCAATGAAAACAATACGTATGTCCTCATTCACACAGGAGGATTGGAGCGGGCAATCTGATGCCCTCCAGATGTTCGGGACTAAAATTCTGATCAGTCCCAACCAGCACAGCCAATCGGGGATTGTGGGACTTGTAGGCCAAAGCATCTACAGTGAGCCAAATCGCCTATTCCTTCCCTGTGTATATACTCTCTGTATCTCCAGAGGTTTAAGCTCTTGATAACAGAACGAGCCCCCGACCAAGCCCCAGCTCTGATATTCCTCATAAGCCCGACAACCACCCATATTCAGCTTCACTCACCAATTCTGTTACACGTTGCGACTCAATCCAACCAGAACTACTCCTAAAGACACGTAGCTACTCAACCAAAGGAAGACGACAACGGAACCGGAAGCCTGGAGAAAGACCGCGCACGCGCATCAGAGGCGACTTGTCTCTCAAGGGGAATGCAGTCGCGATCACTATTTCCGGTGCTAAAGTGCCGTTTCTAGAAGCCTCTATATGCGGGGCAAAAGCCGGGAAATAAAGCGGAATTAGTCTTTCTAAACTCGGAGTAGGACGAGCTGCCATCCATCCTTTGAGTACATTCCTTGAAAAAGCACCCTCCCCACGCCAAAAATAACTTTTAAAAAGGAAATAATAGCGCTTCACTTTTCTAGTGAGGCTTTTGTGTTTTTCAAGGACCCCAAACATGGAGGAATTCAGAAATTGAGATTCCAATGAAGGAACCGGTCGAATTTCTGTATGTCAGCAAAACTTTAAACGCACAGGACTCACAGGCTCGCTTTTGCTACAATAATTTGAAAGCATCGCCTCTTACCCAACACAGCGAAACATAAATCAGTGTATGTTTCAGAAATCCTTTACGTTGACATGCATCCTATTGCTTTTGATAGACATCACGACACACACAAATTCAACGGGGGCGGACTTTCCATATACAGAAAAGCGAGCGGCTGTGCCTACTGAAATTTTTCTGTCCAATCGGAACTGCACTGATACTTCGATTCCTCCATATGGACATCCTTTCTTTCGGACCAAAGAGGTGGAGGAAAGAGGCAAAAATAAATTCTGTAGCAGACGAATGATTTGTATGCGGTATACCAGCTGTACTTGACTTTGCAAAATACACAGTCGTTAGCGAGGAGAGGGAAAAGGTCTGAAGGACGCCTCCCTGAGTCCACCTTAAAGATAATAATAATTGCAAGGAAATCTTGCAAGGAAAAAGATTGTAGCATTTTGCAGTTTCTCTGAATTTAACAGCATTCTCATTTTCTTGCCCTAAAGCTAAGAAATTGCATCAAGCATGAAACACCTCTGGGGCTAGTATGTGTCATTTATTATCTATCTCTGAAACAGACACATTTGCTCTACACCAAGTTCCATTCTGAACAAAAGTCTTAGGTTCTCCAGTCCACTGTTCAATGCCACTGTTCTTCTAACCATGCCTATCTGACAGTCTTACAGAGATAACCACATCTGCCCTGTTAATACTTAGTACATTTATTAAGCCACGTACCAAAGCCATAATGAGATGTAGTAGCAGCTTCTGGGTGAATGATGATGATGTTTATGATTTCCAAGTAGAAATGTTTAAAGTTGCCGCGGCATTTCAGCAAAACAGCAAGCTTCACTTAGCATTTTTATGCAGATGAAAAAGCAAATATTCTGCTGTCTGCTGCATTCAAACCAAGCAAGTCAAGGAGAAGAGATCAAACTTCCATGAGAGTTTGCTGGCATTACACTAAGTAGAAGCTCACCTCAAGATTCTGGTGATGATGTAATTATGACATCACAAAATCTTTGTTGGTGGGGCTCTCAGACTCAGTTTCAGCACATTAGGTAGTAGTAGTAGTAATAGAAAGAGAGGAGAGAGGGGAATAATGATGGCCATTTTTCATCAGGCCATTCATTGGCTTAACAACTAAATCCTCTCTCCAGTCAGTTTCCTTAAATTCTTCCTTCCCTTCAATGCCAAAGTATCACCTGCATCAGCTCATTCTTTTTCCTCATCATGGAACCAAGGAAAGTTCACAATGACAGGCCAGACCAGGGTAAGTCTAATCTCCACTATGCAAATTCTGAAGATCGATTCTTCCTTCGAGAATCATTAGAAAAATTAAATGATTCCTTATCAGTTACTCTGAATAATGTCTGTGTAGGTGAGGCTGGAGATAAGCTTCTGGAAGATCAAAGCAAAGAACATGGTTTGCAGACTTGTAGTGAGGAAATGATGGAACAACCTCAGAGCAGAATTCAAGAAATGGGATACAAAAGCCTGCAAGTAAATGATGAGACGAGGAGTCAGATCGATCAAAAGAACAAGGAAGCCTGTGACGCCCTAATGAAAGGTGAACTCCAGAAAGCAATTGATTTGTTCACCAAAGTGATTGCACTCAATCCACACAGTCCCAGTGCCTACATCAACCGTGCCAATGTCTTTATGCAGTTTCAGGATCCAAATTCTGCCATGGAAGACTGTAATGTAGCCATTGAATTGAACCCCCAATCAGCAGAGCTCTTCAGATTGCGAGCGAAAGCACTGAAGAATTTGGGGCGTCTGAGAGAGGCAGCCTGCGACCTTGCTTTGGCTTCCAAATTAGAATATGATGAAGAGGCTGATGCTGTCCTAAAAAGATTTAAGTTGGGGTTTCAAAGGATTTCTGAGAGGCAAGCAAGTTGTGCCCAAAGATATAAGGAATATGAAATCCTGGAGAAAATTAAGAATACAGAGACATCTTTAGAACATCAGGGAAAAGATCACAGAGAGAAAGACTTCGGCAAACAATCGAAGAACAAAGGAGGAAAATATACAGAGGAGGAAGAAATCAAGACAGATCATGGTGAAGATTTCCAAGAGGTGACAGAAGAAAACAGGAGATGTGGAAAACAGGAGATGTGGAAGCAGGCCACTGAAAAAAAGAAAGAAGCCTTTGCTGCTATGGAAAAGGGTGAACTAGAAAGAGCCATTGAGTTGTTCACTGAAGCTATCAAATTAAATCCCCAGCTTACCACCTTGTATGTTAACCGAGCCAGTACCTTTTTAAAGCTGCATATGCCAAACACTGCCGTAAGAGATTGTAACCAGGCCATCAAAATAAACCCTGATGTAGGATTGCCGTACAAGTTGCGTGGGGAGGCATTTCATCAGCTCGGTTGCTGGCTAGAGGCTGCCCAAGATCTTGCTTTGGCCTGTCAGTTGGATTATGATGAACAGACGTATTCCATGCTGAAGGAGGTAGAAGCAGAGGCCCAGAAAACCACAAAATGTTGGAGAAAGATAGAGGAAAATTGTAACACGAGAGGATTTAAGGAGATAATTGATAGGATGAAGGAAGTTCCTGCAGTCCAGGGTAAAATGCAGGCAAAGATACCCCAAAAAGAATCTGAACCTAAAGAAGCTGCCTCAGATGAACAGGAGAAAAGTGAATATAACATCTCTGAAGCTAAGAAAATTTCATATAATCATCTCCCAAGTCAGGGCACATTTCCCCTTTATTTTCAAGAGGGACAAGGTAAAGATTCTATGTATACTCTGGAAAAGGAAAGAGACCCCCTTACTGGTCATGAAAAGCATGAAACAACTAAAATTCTGGAACTGGAAACTGATGAGGTAGCAAAGAGAGAGCAAAAATGCATTAATAAATCAGACAGTGAGGAAAGTGAATTGGAATTTGATACTGAAGAGGTGATTGAGCCAGATGATGATGTTCATCAAGAGATGGGAGATGAACGTGTAAGGGTAACAGATGAAATGAGGAAACAGGCAAATGAAAAGAAGAGAGAAGCCTTCAATGCAGTCAGTAGAGGTGAACTTTTAAATGCTATAGACCTGTTCACTGAAGCAATTAAGCTCAATCCACGCCTTACCATCTTATATGCAAACCGAGCCAGGGTCTACCTGAAGCTTCAGAAGCCTCATGCTGCTATCAGGGACTGCGATAAAGCCATACAAATCAACCCTGATTCTGCACAACCCTATAAGTGGAGAGGGAAAGCACTGCAGCTCCTTGGTTACTGGCAGAGAGCTGCAAAAGACCTTGCCACAGCCTGCCAATTGGATTATGATGAAGAATCCTATGCCATGTTGAAGGAGGTACAACCAAAGGCTCAGAAAATTGCCAGATTCTTGAGGAAGCATGAGCAAAAATGTGAGGAGAAGAAAAATAAAGAGGTATTGGACAGAATTCAAAAGGTGTGTGAGAAGTATGAAAGACCTCCAACTATCCAAGCTGAGTTAGAAAGAGAGCACAAAGGAGCAGTGGAAGACCAGAGGGATGCTTGGGCGCAAACTATGAAGGAGCAGCAGAGAGTCAGGCAAACAGTGCTGAAAAAGCAAGAAGGCATGCCCTGGGCAGAGCTGGAGAAGGGGCTGAAGGACAGTATACAAAAACAGTATAGATCTTTTGAGAAGGAGACTGAGAGACAGGAAAATTTCCAGAAGTTTCTGGAAGAAAAGGAAAGTTTTCAGCAGGAGGAATTGAAATACCAGGGAACAGTCCACCAAAAAGAGCTGGAGGAACAGCTGAAAGCTCTTCAGCAGGAATTGGATGAAAAGCTGAGAGCTTATCAAGAAGAAATGAATGAAGATGAGACTTGGCAGACTTGGCAGAGATTACTAGACGAGCAGGAAAAATCACAACAGAAAGTACTCTATGAACAAGAAAGAGCTTACAAAATAATCCTAGAACAGCAACAGAGAGCCCAAATGGTGGCTCTGGAGGAACTGGCAAGAGCACAGCAAGGGGCTCTTGAGGAACTGGCAAGAGCTCAAAAGAAAGCTCTGGGAGAACAGGAGAAAGCTCAGCAACAAGCCCTGGAGGAACACGACAGGACTCAGAAAGCTTTAGAAGCTTTGGAAAGGGCTCATAAACTGGCTATGGAGGAACAGAGGAAAGCTCAGATGGCTGCCATGGAAGAACAAGAG